ATTTTTTTCCCCACCCAGGACATACCCAGGTTAGTGGAGAGGCCAAGCCACCACTTCGCCGTGATGGTAGCCCACTGCCCGCCCCGACGCATGTGGTCTGAGGGAGGGAGGAGGAGACGTCTTCTCCAGCTATTTGTCGAGTATGGGCCAAAAATGGAGGATCCTGCAGCTGATGGATAAGGAACATTCAGATGGTGCAGTTCTACAGGACCGTAGTAATGTTGATCTGAAGGACAAGATCCGAAACATGAAGGTGCGCTATGAAAAGTATGTATGATAAACTGCTTCTCTTCTCTACTTTCCTTCTCACTTAATATGATGCTAATGGTATACTTTCAGAGCAAATAAGATCCTGCCACCAAATTTCGAAAAGATCCATCTAGGTCCCAAGGAGAAGAGGGTAGTGGAGACATACACAGCCATTATAAAGCAACTAAAACGCTGAACCTGTTGCACTTTCGGTTGGAGAATTAATTCTCTTGGCCTCCATGGTGATGATACTGTTCTGTACTTCATTTTATTTAATACTCTGTGATAGAAAATCTGACCCGATTATTACTATTTCATTCTATAGTATTATACCTTGTGCGATTCGATCTATCAACAACTTGATGATAAGCTCTCCTCACCCTCTACCTAGTTGTTCTTAATCTTTGAGGTATCTAGATTAGCACTATGCAGTGTAGAATATAACAGTGTGAGGCCCAAATCCTCATATAGCTACACGTGTTGGAGCCTATATAGTAAGGCATGCAGAGAGGTTCAAGATTAAGGGGGTCTCTGGAACCGATTGTAGGTGGATACTACGGCTACCCTAGATCACGTGCTCCCCAATCTTATTTAGTTGTTGCTCGGCTAGTTAGTTTTAATACAAAACAACGTTCATTCTATGACCCACTGGTATGAAGATACAGGGCTAACTCAGCACCCAGAACCACGCAGTGTATATAACCTCACTGGACCCCATATCTTCACAGGGCCAGTGAATAGTCTTATATCAATCACTCCTATGTTCAACAGCTTCATATATATATATCGTTATGCCCTCACATCGTTCCATCACCTCTGTCATGCCACGGCCCATGCGCCGGCATGCCCCGGGGATTTAACTATATACATAGGTGTGGGCGCCTATGATGCCGGTCGGTATCATAGTGTTTGGTTTTTTGGCCGAGGTGGTTAGGGGGATATATAGAGGATATATACTAAGGCCGCCAGATATATCCAACGTATCCAAAGGGGGCAAGGTTTCCAACACGGCATAATCCACGATCGGGATAAATATATATATTTAGAGCACCGTTGGGGATCTCCTGCGATAGAGGTAGATAGAACTCAGAATTAATCTTGCTTATAACTGCTTCCAAAGCTACTTGACCAATAGCCATCTTATTAATTAAGCTTAAGGTACTGTAGCCTTTGGAGAAGTTAAAAGAGATAAGGAGATAAAAGATGTTAGAAACCTAGCTACCCTAATAATAACCCTAGAAATAACCCTAATAACCCTAGCATTAACCCTAGCAACAACCCTAGCAATAACCCTAGAGAATTGCATCCTTGATTGACAACGTAATTTCTATTCCACTGACCTGCAACTTAAATAGCATTGAATATGTTTGGTAGAGAGCCAGCATGCATGATTTCATGCACATCTAACCACTCCTTGCGCTGACCGGGACTTTGGGACGATAATACTGTAACGGGTTAGCGCGGCTGTAGAAAATATACGCTAACCTAATACGGTATTATCGTCCCATAGAACCCTCCATTGTTTAAACCACAATATCTCCACCACTACATGGGCTATGGGAATATGGAATATATCAGTTTAATGCCCAGAGGCTGCTCTATCATCTCATACTAAAATATGTAGATGTTTCTATATCTGTGGTGTTGGTCTTAGCCTGTCAATGTGGTACTAGAATATGCGATATTCAACGGGCGTGCCCCAACCGGTATATACGATCCTCTCCATCATATTCTGTTTAACCCCAACCCTAAAACCCTGGGGTTTCCGTTTCCGTTTCCGGTTCCGCCTCCGCCTCCGCTTCCGTGACGTATTTCCCTTGACGTAAACCCCTAATCCAACGTGATATTCAACGGGCGTGCCCCAACCGGTATATACGATCCTCTCCATCATAACCCTAACCCTGAAAACCTGGGGTTTCCGGTTCCGTTTCCGGTTCCGTGACGTATTTCCCGGACGCAAACCCCTATATCCAACGCGATCGATCATATTCTGTTTAACTCTAACCCTAACCCCTGGGGTTGTAACCCTGGGGTTTCCGTTTCTGCTTCCGTTTCCGCTTCCGTTTCCGTGACGTATTTCCCGTGACGCTGGACCCCCTATATCCAACGCGATATTCAATGGGCGTGCCCCAACCGGGATATACGATCCTCTCTATCATAATCTGTTTAACCATAACCCTAACCCTGGGGTTTTAACCCTGGGGTTTCCACTTCCGTGACCTATTTCCCGTGACGCTGACCCCTATATCCAACACGATATTCAACGGGGGTGCCCCAACCGGGATATACGATCCTCTCCATAATAATCTGTTTAACCATATACGATCCTCTCCGTTTCCGGTTCCGCCTTCCTTCTAGGGTCCGTGACGTATTTCCCGGTCGCAAACCCCTAATCTAACGCGATATTCAACGGGCGTGCCCCAACCGGTATATACGATCCTCTCTATCATATTCTGTTTAACCCTGACCCTATTACCTTCAACCGGCATGTCCAGCGCGTTTGACTTTTAAATGCTTTCATCCCACTGGTTTGGGTCCAACGGGTTAACGCGTTTGTTCAACCGGTTCGACTTCCAATCGTTTCAACGTCGGCTTTGACTTCCAACTGCTTTGATGTTCAACGCCTTCAAACATCCAACGGGTTAATGCGTTCATCCAACCCCCCAGCCTCTACTCTCACTCTTTGTAACCCTAACCCTGACCTATTATTGTATGGGATAATGCTCTTTAAAACTCCAATATTTTTGAACCTGATCTAGCTATATTATATCTCTTTACCCTCTTTCTTTTTGCTCCTTTTCCTCTTGCTTCATCGATCTTTATATATGCATATATCTTTTATCTCTATGTGGTGCTCGTCAACATCTGCCTCTCACCTGTGATGTCATTTGACCTCTATGCCCCTGACTCGATCTTCCCGCCCCTCTACCTTCTGATATAATCGTCCAGCGTGTTCGACTTCCAACGGGTTGATGGGTTCATCCAACGGATTCGACGTCCAACGGGTTAATGCGCTCCTGGGACGGGTTTGACGTCCAACGGGTTGGGTCCAGCGTGTTCGACTTCCTCATCCAACGGGTTCGACGTCCAACGGGTTGATGGGTTCATCCAACGAGTTCGGGTCCAATGGGTTAATGCGCTCCTTGGACGGGTTCGACATTCTAACGGGTTTGGGGTCCAGCGTGTTCAACTCCCAACGGGTTAATGCGCTCCTGGGACGGGTTTGACGTCCAACGGGTTTGACGTCCCACGGGTGGGGTCCATCGTGTTCAACTCCCAACGGGTTAATGCGCTCCTGGGACGGGTTCGACGTCTAACTGGTTAATGCGCTCCCTGGACCGGGTTTCGACGTTCAAACGGGTTAATGGCGCTCCTGGGGAAGGGTTTAGACTTCCCAAAGGGTTGGTTCCCTACGTGTTCAACCTTCCTCATGCATCGGGTGTCAAACTCCCAACGAGGT